ACCCAGGGAGGGGGAAGGGGGAGGCAACAAAGCATGAGGTCAGACCCTGAGTTATGAGGTTGGGAGGATGAGGCAGAGTAGGACCTGCAGAAAGGGTTAGGGGCTGAACCCAGAACAATTGGGAGCTTAACGGTGACACAGCAGGACCTGAAGTTGGGGGGCTAGGGACTGGCAGGGCACTTCCAAGGGGACGTTGGGGCTTATGGTCTGGTAAGGGAAAAAAAAGCATGTCTGGACTCCAGTCACTGCCTTGCTTGACACCTTTGGGTGTCGCATGCAGGGCAGTGTGGGATGATGTAGCGGAAGCGTCCAGCTTTGGAACTGGAAAGACCTGGGGTTTCTAGCTCTGCCATTTACTAGCTATGTGCCCTCAGGGAAGTTACTAGGTCGTGTTTCAGTTTCCTCATCTGCAAAACAGAGGGAAAAACAGCTTTTCCAGAGATTGTGGTGAAGACAGAGAAAATAAATTGTTTCTCCCAGTGCCTGGCACACAGCAGTTCCCAATAAATGGTAGCTCAACCATTTGGGTCTTCCTTACCTAGATTCTTAACATATGTTCAATGAGAATAGATATAAAAGGACTATGAAAAGTTAAAAGCACTATACAAGGTATTTTTATTTTCAAGATTTGGAGAATGTCTGCCCAAACCAAGATACTAAGAGTTAGCATTTACTGAATGCTCCCTACGTGCCGGGCACCATTCTAAGCGCTTCACATGTATTACTTTTATCCTTATAATAACTCTTTGAGGTAGGTGCTATTATTATCCTCATTTTAAAGACGAGGAAACGGAGGCACAGAGGCTGAACAACTTGCCCAAGGGTATACTCCGAAGAGAAGTGCCAAGCCAGGATGCCACCCCAAGCAGTCAGATCCCCCCTTCTGATTCCGGCCAGAGCCCAGCATCAAACAAGGCTTTTGACTCTTCTAAACCTCTCTTCTCCATCCTAGTACAACTACGACAAGAGCATCGTGGACAGTGGCACCACCAATCTTCGTTTGCCCAAGAAAGTGTTTGAAGCTGCCGTCAAATCCATCAAGGCAGCCTCCTCGGTCAGTGTGACTCAGGGCAGGGGTACAAGAGATGATACAGTGTCAGAGGAAGTCCGTGAAGGTCACAGCTCTCAACAAGGGCCAAGTTGTCTACCCTTAGATCCTTCTACTTAAACGTCTTCAGAGCCGGTCTCTTTCATGGGCCTCGGCTTGCTCATCCCACAGGCCTCCTGGTGCAGAGTTTTGGCCTCACTCTCCAGCTCTCTTCCCCTAATTCTTAGGTTTCAGTGTGCCTTTCCCCAATTTGGATATTCCATAGAAAAGCTAAAAGAGGGCCCAGTGTTATCTGAAAGTAGGAGAAGCGGATGGCGGAAGAGGCGGCTTCCTCACTGTTAACCCTTTCTCGGCCACACAGACGGAGAAGTTTCCAGATGGGTTCTGGCTGGGGGAACAGCTGGTATGCTGGCAGGCAGGCACCACCCCTTGGAACATTTTCCCAGTCATCTCCCTCTACCTAATGGGCGAGGTCACCAATCAGTCCTTCCGCATCACCATCCTTCCACAGGTATGTCCCCAGCCGGAGTCGGTGGGGTCCCAGGAAGAGGGCACGGTTCATACGGGGAGACAGGGAGCAGGCGTGGCTTCGCAGAATGCAGAAGACAAGAGACAGCAGTGTCCTGTGGCACAAAGCCAGGCCACAGAGCTCGGGGATGGCAGAGGGAAGAGCGGTCCCTGGGCACAGAGATCTAGAAGGCAGAGGCAGGGGGAGGGATGCAGCGAGGAAGACATCCTTCTCCCTCTCTGACTGCTTGTCCTTAGCAATACCTGCGGCCAGTGGAAGACGTGGCCACGTCCCAAGACGACTGTTACAAGTTCGCCATCTCACAGTCCTCCACGGGCACTGTGATGGGAGCTGTGATCATGGAGGGCTTCTACGTCGTCTTTGATCGGGCCCGAAAACGAATTGGCTTTGCTGTCAGTGCCTGTCATGGTAAGAGAGCCAGGGGGGAGGGTGTGGGCTCCGTCTGTCCATGTTCTCACTGTCCGGCAGTTAGGATCCCTGGGCCCCTGTCAGCCTGGGAGGTAGTCATACTTGCCTCGAGGCAGAGCCAACAGCCAGTGTCACAGCTAGCGTCCGGGCCCATGCTTTGTCCATGTGCCCGGCGTGGCGAGGCCTGCCCGGGCTGTAGCTCCACCGGAGGCCCAGACCAGCAACAGCTGCCTCGGCCCCTAGGGAAGCTCTAGATCCCCAGGCAGCAGGCTGAGCCTGCAGTGGCCCCGTGGGCTGCTACACGATGGGGCCGGGTGTGCCTTCAGAACGGCAGCGGGGTCTTCAGTATCGGCGGAAGCCGGTGAGTGTACTAGGAATACACGGGGCTGTCTTTTTGGTCAACTCAGGAGACTGACCTTTAGGTATCATTCCTACCGCACGGTTATCCAGGAAAGGGTTGTTGCTCCCAGTGCCCTGGGAGGAGAGATGTGCTTCTACCTAGCAAGGCTCTTCTGGCCTGCTCCTAAATACCTCCAAGGAAGGAGATGTTAGGGCCTCCTCGCGGGCTAATTTCAAGGCCTACCAGGAAGTTCTTTTTGCTCTATGATCCAAACTGCTGTGTGACGGTGAGAGCTGCCCATTCGCGTTTGCCCTTTCTCCAGTGCACGATGAGTTCAGGACGGCAGCAGTGGAAGGCCCGTTTATGACCCCAGACATGGAAGACTGTGGCTACAACATCCCACAGACAGACGAGTCCACCCTCATGACCATAGCCTACGTCATGGCGGCCATCTGCGCCCTCTTCATGCTGCCGCTCTGCCTCATGGTGTGCCAGTGGCGTTGCCTGCGCTGCCTGCGCCAGCAACACGGTGACTTTGCCGACGACATCTCCCTGCTGAAGTGAGGCGGCCCCGGGGCAGGAGACAGGGATGCTCCTGGGCCGCACCTGCTGGCTCACTTTGGGCACGAGCAGGACGCACTGATGGCACCGGTGGCCAGAGCACCTGAAGACCCTCACCTACCCACCAGATGCCTCTGCCTTGACCGAAAAGAAGGAAGAGCAGGCACGGTGTGTTACAGGAATGGCACCTGTAGGAAATGGGAGAGGGAAGAAAGAAGCACTCTGGTGGCGGGAATATTCTTGGTCACCTCAAGCCTGAGTTGGGAAATTCTTCAGCCTTGAACCTTTGCCCACCGTCCCTCTGGCTTCTCCAACCCGAAGTATGAAGTAGTCTTCTCTTCTTAGTTCCAGAAGTAGTGGTATCACAGCCAAGTCAACCCCGTGAGCGTGTCTCTGCCGTACCATTGGCAAAGGGCCAACGTCGCTTCCCTGCTGACCAAAGTCAGTAGGAACGGATGCACGGTTTGAGATTTGCTTTAGTGACAGGGACTATAGAAACAAGCCTAACATTGGTACAGAGATTGCCTCGTGAATTAAACAAAAATGAGACTGAATATTTGTACAGAGGGGGCGGCTGGAAGAGGAGAGGGGAGGGAGCGCAAAGACAGGGAACAGCTGGGATCAGAGCTAGAAAAGGCAGAACCATGGCCACTCGCCAGTCCCAGTTTCAGACTGCATCTCCAAGATAGAAGCCCATCTTGTAAGATGGGTGTTGCTGCCCGATGTTTTCTTTTCTGTGGTTGTAGCCTGACCGAAAGTGAGTTGGGAAGAAGGGCTTACCTAGCCAAAAAGCTCTTTTTAACTCTCTTAAATGAAAAGTGCCCGCTAAGAAGTTCCATCTAACAAATGAATTTCTACCTGAATGATTCCACTTGTCTCTACCTGAACCCTTTACTCCACACACGATAGGTTAACACTGACACTTCCCACCCCCCACCCCCAGCCCCAGGTGCCCTATGAGAAGCAACTGGAACACAGCAAATAGAGCAGGGCCCGGCTCTGTCTTCCTGCTTACGTGTTCACCCCCACCCCCAAACCCCTATTCCTCTGGAGCTCTGCAGCTGAGGTGCTAAGAGGGATAGACAGGAGACCTCTCTTTCTTAACCCTTGAAAGCAGAATCATCAAGATTCACTCGACAGGTACAGGGTTGATGCCCTGGTGCCTCTGCCTGGATTTCTTCCTGTTCAGCAGTTAGGTAGTAGTAAGATCTCCACACGATACAGAGCGTTCTTATCGCCTTCTCACCCTCTCTGATGTCTCCTCCATTAACTTGGCTAAGGCACCCCACAGGGGCACTAGTATTACACCCAGTGTCAGAAACGCAGGGCTTTCTGGCTCTAGCATCATTGCCTTCGAGAACAAGGCTGCTAGAGAAAGGCTGCCAGCCTCAGGGCTTCCGTACTCTCTTCACCACCAGAGCCCCTCAGGGGATGCCATCCTTCTCCTCACTCCGAATAGTACTTGGGTACCCAGGCTGGTTCTTGGGCTAGGTAGTGGGGACCAAGTTCATGTCCTTCCGATCAGTTCTAACACAGTCAACTCTGATACCACTGTTAGTGGAAGACGTGATTCTCCGCGTATACCCACCGGGTCCTGTCGCTAGCTTGTCAACACATTGCTTCCAGGGATGGGACCTGCCGAGTGTGGAATTACCTGATGAGGGAAAGGGAAATGCAAGGAGGGCCTCTGAAGACCCTGGCCTCGGCCAGCTGCCCACAAGCCATAAACCAATAAAACAAGAATATTGAATCACAGTTCTTTATCTGGGTTCTCTTCATTCCCCTTGCACTTGGTGCTGCTTTGGCCGACTGGGAACACCCCTAACCACAAAGACTGTCAGGAAGACTGGAGAGTGTCCGTTTCCAGCTCGGAACTTACTGTGTAAATAAACTTCCAGAATTGCTACCATGTAATGAAAACACCACATTCTGCTTTATAATTTCTGTCCATGTTGGGGAAAACTGGCTTTTCCCCAGCTCTTTCCAGGGCATAATACTCAACCCCTTCATTAGTTAAGTCCCACTGTCATATTTTTTTAAAAAAACTGTACTTATTTTTCTTTTTACAGTTACTTCCTGTCTACCCTGAAACTATTAACTCTAAGTGTAAAAAAAAAAAAAAACAAAAACTTGACAACAGCTTCTTGCTTGTAAAAATATGTATTATCTATCTCTATTTTTAGAGTCAACTCCTGAAAAGTGACTGTCCCATCTCTACTCACTGCATTAGAGGCCTTTCCCGCCAGTCTGCATGGCTTCTACCCCTGCAGGCCAGGAGACAGAGGGAGAAGGGAGAACAAGGGTGGCCAAAACTTAAATGTTGCTTTCTGATTGATCCCGAACAAGACAGAGAAAAGAGCAACACAGAGGCCCCAACTCTCGCACACAGCTCCCCCAAACATTTGTCTTCCTACTATAGTTGGCTTTCAAGGGGCTTTTACTAGGAAGCAGATAAGCCCCCCTCCCACTTCTTCCTTTCTTCTATGTTCCTCTGGCTTCAAAGATCTGTGGAAAAGAGAATAGTCTTTATATCCATTCCTAATTTCTAGATTTTTAGGTAATACTGAAAAATATTGCTAGTGGCCTAAAGGCTACTGCAAAGTTGATGAGAGAGAAAATCTTCTGATTGCAAGAGAAAAAAAATGAATCCCCCAAATGAAAAGAACAAAGGAACTGGTCTTCCATTTTGCCACATTTCCGTTCAGGATAGCTACCAAACTGGAGACATTAATATTTCATTAACCAAAGAAAGTGAGTCACCTGACCTCTACAGAGGGGAGAACTCAGGCCATTTCAATCACCCTACAAGATGTCAAGGAGGTCCTGGGAAGTCCAGCTCCTGAAAATGATGCTAGTCGACAGGCTGAACAAGTGAGGCAAAAGAAGGGAAGGACTACGTCTAAGAGGCTGATAGGCAAAGACGAAGGACAAAGAAGGAAAAGATCAAGAGCAGAGAGCAGGGAATGTAACTTGGTCTGAAAGGGAAAGTCTTTGCTACCCGGATAGTGCTGCCAGTGCCAGGAAGCATTTCCAGGTCCCAGAACGGGAACAATTCAGCTGTTGGTAATACAATGTCCTTTCCCTGGAGCTAGTGTTTTGTTTTGTTTTTTTTTAACTAACACTTAGTTTTTCCTTGTTTAATACAAAAGAAAAGGAAGCTGAAGCCATTTCCTGTAGGAGTAAAGATAAAAGGATAAGAAAAGAGTCAAAGCTCTCAAAGATTCACAGCTTTCACAGGTATAATCCTAAACACCAGAAGTGCTCAATAAGCAGAGGTGGGAAAGTGATCTCGTTCTAGACAGCTACCTATATAGAACAAATGACTTCTAAACTTAAACTCCAACCCCCCTTCATGTCACTTTGGCCTCCATTTCTCCGAGGATAGGAAACATGTCCCCCATAATTTTCTTGCTTCAAAAATTAAAATCCAGCATCCCAACATCATTCTGCAAGTAATTTTGCACAGACATCTCCTCACACCAGTGCCTGCCTAGAGCTCACCCAAGGTCACCAAACAACTTGGTTGTGAACCAACTGCCTTAACCTTCAGTGGGGAGGGGGACTAACTGACCAGGAGACCAGAAGTGAAGGGGAAGAGGTGAGGCCTTCACAAGGTTGGTCTGTCAGAGCTTGATCAGAAGCCAAGTCAGTGGTAGCAAGGGATGGCTTGGCCCAGGAAAGATCTGTGGGCTGTGCTAGTTTCTAAACAGAGGACTATCCAGGAAGTCAGATGGACAGAAGCTTTCGGGGGGCATGGGAGAAATGGGACCCAATTATGTTGGTATTCTTGGACTGTGAATTTTGCTGATGTAAAACAGACTATTCTGTAAACCTAATGTCTATGTGCAAATAATGAGCGTTAACACAGTAAAATATTCAATGAAAATTCAAACTACTAGGGTTACATTTTTTTTTCCTCAATCAGTCTCATTTTATCCATTTGGAGTCGAGTGGCTAGAACAACACTGAGGCTTCCGTAGGCTTTCAGTAAGCAAGGCATCTGGTTGGACAGCAGGTGAGCACCAGGGTTCAAATCTGCATACATGAGCCTTAAGAAAATGAACTAGAGGCTGAGCCAAATCAAAGCAGGATGGCCTTAGGGTAACAGCAGCTTCCTAGATGGTTTTTATATTGTACTTGAAAACAGCCCCAGGCAAGGATATCATTAATTTCAAGGGCAAACTAAACATCATCTTACCTACAATCTGCATCCCCCGAAGGAATTGCAAGGTGAGGGGGAGAGACCATTTCTGCATAATATACATACTTTCATTTACGAACATTTGGATACAGACTTTCTATACACACATTACCTATATAATAAAAATGTACATGGCATGAGTATAGGTCACTGTATAAATATAGAGTTTTAGAAATCTTGAACCCGCGCTTCCTGTTCACATCAGTTTCTCCTCTTCTTCCTCCCCAGTCAGGTCCGTCATTTAAGAGTTGGACAAAAGGGACAAGTGTCATTTGTGTTGGTCTGGGCCCAGAATTTGATACACTGGAAAGGAAGAAAGACATATCTCAGGTTTATCTGGAAAGATGGAGGGAAGGAGGGGAGAGTGTGCCACTGAGATTCACTGGTCTGAGGAACGCATACTAAGTCAGAAGGGCTCTTACCATGGGGACCAGATGGGCTATTTCATTGGCTCTTACCCCCAAAAGAATCTTTAGAGCAGGGAAACCTGTTCTTTTTAGAGGGAACATTAACAATCAGCTAAGAATGGTGTGAAGCTGCTCTGTGTTGGATATCTGGGGTGGCCTTCCCCTTCTCATGATCTACTTAGGCTGAGATGCACTCCCAACTCCAAATACCCACCACCCTCAAATCTTATTCAGGCTTTTTCCTAAGAATTTAGACGTAAATCCAGTTTCTACCTTTTGAAAAATGAAAATGAACAAAATAGTAAAGAAGGAATCATCCCTGCTGCTGAGAGACTTAACTCTGTCTGGTAACATAATCCAAGATAGGAATAACCTGTCAGTTTGTGAAGATAATCCCTAACAGGCAGACCTCCAAGCTATTCTGTTAATGGATTTACTAATCTCATATTCAGGTTCCCTATTCCGTTCTTCTTGTCTCAGCAAAGTCTCCTGACAATGCTATATTCGAAACAATGGTTAGATATGTATGTCTTATTGCAGTGTTCCAAGAAAGTGACCTATCAGTGCTCTAGGATGCACTGCTTATCCAGTCCCCTAAAGAGAATGGGGTAAAAGGAAGCTAGGAGATCCTAGCTGCCAGCATTCTGAAATCTGTTGATTGTTGAAGCCACAGCTTACTGAAAACCTCATGTTGAGATATTAATGATGAGCATCAACACAGCAACACGTTCGAGAAAAACTCAGAAAACAAAGAGTGGAAAGGAAGGTTGTTAGCACCCACCTCCTTGTGCAGCACATGGGTGCATGCCATTGGATGCAGCTCACTGGGCTGGACAAGCTTCTGGCACATGAGACACAGCTTACAGGTGGCTGGGGCCTGCAGGACACAGAAGGGAAGGCCAAAGAGTAAGGAACCTCTGGGTCTCCTCGCCTCTTGTGCCCATGATGCCATCTCCTATTTCCATGTCGCAAAAGGTTTTTACACCAAAAGAAAGAAAAGTTCAAATACAGATTCTTGACGGAAGTACCTGCATTTTTTCAGCTGGGGCCGCCAACAACCCAGCTGATGAGAGGGTGTTTTTTTTGTCCCCCCACCCCCGCACTGCATCTGTAAACCTGTTCCCTCCTCACCCCCCAGCTTCTCCACAACCCAGTTTTCAAAGAAAAAGAGCCTTACGTGTGAAGACCTTCCAGGATACGAAACTTGGGCAGAAGGCAAGAACATTGGGGTACTGATTTGGGTCAGCGGAGCAGGGAACAAGGCCCGGATCCGACCGAGTGGCTGTGGGCAGAAACATTGTCAGAGTAAGGGGAAAGAGTCTGAGCGACAGAGCAGATAACAAAAAGAAATCACTTCTTTCCCAGTGCAGCAAAGGAAGAAAGCAGGCTAGAGACCCCTGGCTGCAGTGCTGTGTGCCGCCCCCAGTGCCTCTGAAACCTGCCTCCTCCCCAACAGCTGAGCAGGTCTGAGCTCTCACCTGGGTACTGGCTGCCACCCGTTCGTGTTCGGCCAGGCGGGCCGCTACCAACTGCATCAGTTCCTCCATGGTCAGGCCTGCCATGGTGGTCCGTGCGGTCTTGATTTGCTGAAGAATGTTGGTCATCTGGGCCCTAAGCAGCCACATGTTGAGAGAGAGAGATTCTATGCTGTCCTTGTTAAAAATCTCCAGGAAACTTCCCCTATTTTGACCCACAGATATTTCTCTGACATTTTTTTTTTTTTAAGCTTTTAAATTAGTCCTGAAAGATACTTACTTATTGCATTGTGGGAAGCGAGTCAGTAGCTTCTCCAGGATCTTCTCCAGTTTGTCTACTGGTTGGGGCCGGGGAGTTTCAGCAGAAGCCTTAACACCGCCCAAGCCTGGGGGAGGCGGGATGGAGGCAGCAGGGGGCATGTGTGGACCGTGGGGGCCAACGAGGGAACCCAAGCCAGGGCTGTTTCTCCCATGGGAGCCAGGAAGGGGCGGGGAAGGCTGGCTGGGCTGGGAAAGGGCAGGGTTTAGGATTGGGAAAGACAAGGAGCGGGGATCTGCGCTGGGCATAACCATGGGCACTGTGACCTGCCCAATGGAGAAGGGCATCCGAGGAGGCAGAGAGGGATTTGGCTGAAACACCTGAAGCATGAAGTCTGTCTGCAGAGCAAGAGAGGTGGAGGACAAGAGAGAAAGGAAGAAAATGAAAGTTTACGAATCTGGAGCGGAAATCAGTGAGCAATTCTTATGCCAAATAAGATCAATAATAATAATGGCCAATAATAATGTTATAATAAATAATACCAGGAGTAAAACCAATCTCTTCATAAAAGGAACAAGCAGAAGACTCTGGCTGTGCCACCAGCACAGAAAGGTAAACTCCCCCATGCCAGTCCTCTCACCTCTGATGGGGGTGGAGGCAAAGTGGGAGTAGGGATTTGAGGAAGGCTGCTTAGCTTGGCTCCGTTCCTCACCAACTGGATATGACTGTTAAACTGGTCCTAGAAAAGAGAGAAAGGAGCAGATTATCCTCTCTGCTGAGCTGAGTAAGCCTCTTGAGAAAGAGAGCACCACCCAGTATCAGGAGAGCAAAGGCAGGGGTGGAGCAGGCCCTCAGTGATGATGTACAAGGTCCCTCCGGTCACCACAGGTTTAAGCACAGCCTGAACCCTGACTCAAAGATCACACAGTACAACACTTACCCGAACATTCTTTTTCATCATCCGAACTCCATTCAGCCTTGTCTCCCACTCCTGTTTGGAACGAACTGTCTCTAGTGTTGGGGGGGTTGACCTTTCAAGAAACCAACAGGAATTCAGAGAATTAGAGCAAGGCCAGCTCCTGACTCTCTGAGATAGCAGGACAGTGGCTGGTCAGGGGTCCTGGTGAGAAAAGGTCAGACAGGTATAGGAGGAGGCCGGGGTTTGTGTGCTTCACTCTCACTCTGGCATCTTTTAAGCCAATTATTAGAGAAAGAGGACCAACCACAGAAAGAGGGCTTTTGTCTGCCTGGAAATGTCACAGGGGTCCTCCAGATTCCATGGCAGAAAGAGAAGAAATGACTCTATGAGAAACAAATCTCCAAAGATATTTGTTATGCTTTGACACCAGAAGAGATATTGTTTATCCAGCTGGAACCAATACAATCAAAAATACAAAACTATAAACTATGGGAAGAGAAATGACTGAACAATGGCAACTGTGCAGACAGAGGTGGCCCTGAAATTTCTGAGAAGACAGAGTAAATGCCAGACTAGTGGGCCTCGGGTTTCAAAAAACTAACCAAACCAAACCAAAAAAAAAAAAAAAAAAATACCAAGAAAACACCAAACTGCAGGACCATTAAAACTCTGGGATGGGAGGGTACTTACTTGAGGTAAGTAAGGTGCAGTTCTGCCTCTTTTTCTGCTTCTTCTAGTTTCAATACCAGCAACTCTTTCCGACTCTCTAGTGATAAGATCTAAGGAAACCACACACACACACACACACACACACACACACACACAGTTTCTTTATTAATTGTACATATACGAAGCTTCCCCCCAGCTAGTTAAAACAAATGCTTATGGCTATATAGTACAATAGTTGTATGGCTTAGTGGTATAAACACTATAACCAAAGAGATTAATTACTATCTGGAAGCCCCAAATCAAGGCTTTCCACACAGAGCCCTTCTCACCTCTGCCTTCCAGGCCCGTTCTGTCTCTTCCATAATGTTCCGATTTATTTCACCATCCTGATTCTTGAGTCTATCCAGTTCCATTTCCCACACTTCTCTGTAAGGTCAGAAACCAAGAACAAGAGTAAGGGGAGAAAGACAAGATCGCTAAGGGACATCAAGGCAAAAGGAAAACCTGAAATTGATTTAGCAGATATGTTATAGGAAGTTTTACTCTAACTATTAATATAGATCTAGACAAAGAATGTTTAAAGTATTCTGTAACTGCAAAAAGGCCTTATATTTGAAAGTTAATATATGGGATGCCTGGATGGCTCAGTTGGTTGAGGGTCTGCCTTTGGCTCAGGTCATGGTCCTGGGGTCCCAGGATCGAGCCCCGTGTTGGGCTCCCTGCTCAGCAGGGAGTCTGCTTCTCCCTCTCCCTCTCCAGCTCTCCCTGCTTGTGCTCGCTCACTCGCTCTCTCAAATAAATAAAATCTTAAAAAAAAAAAAAAGGTAAAAATGTTCACATCTCCCCTTGCTAAGATAAGGTTTCCCAGAGCAGGAAAGAGTGTACTTAGGACCAAAACCCACTGACAGCAGACTGTTCCATGTTTAGGGAAGGCTCAGAATCATTATGGTACCCTCTCATAACCCCATTTGTCTTCTACTATAGGTATGAAGAATGCAGGACCAAACACAGAGATCCGTTTAATACTCAGGTCTAATGCAGCAAGCTCTGATTCATTCCTCAGCACACAGACACTGGCTTACTGATTTTCATATTTTCTTAGCCATAGTAAACATTCTTCAGAAGAAAAAACTGTCTCTTCACACCTCAGGAATTCACCTTTCCATCAGCATCCTCCCTTCTCACGCCACCCTCCCAGCCCCATCCCTACAATGTAACATACTCAGGGTCAGGGTGACCAGGGTCAGGGTGACCAACCGATTGGTGTGTCTGTTCCCAGGGGTCTTGCAGAATATGGGACAGTCAAGCACCCTACTCAGGACTAAAGAACAGAGCCAGCAAGAGGAGCTTGTTACATGGCACTGGATTGCAGTCAAGTTTTATGGCTGGAAAGCAAAGGATCATCCAGATCAGTGGAAAGAATATGAAAATGTTGAAATGTTTTCACTGTATTTTAAGAAGTCAAAAAGAAGAAAAGGTTGGGAAGAGTTGTATCTTAAGAAAAATGGTTCCCACTTTTCTTCAGTAAAATAAACAACTTCAGTCCTCTTCTGTTTTTCAGTAGTAGCCTTACATATATGAAAGGGAGCGATCCACTTAAGTCTGTGTTTGAGGCGCTCATGTATCCCTGCTCTCTCTTTCATAGATAAAGTAACACACACACGTTCATTCACTGATTCACTACCATGAGTCTGCCCTTCTACTGACAAGGTTTATTCATATAATAGAAATGACCAGGGCGCCTGGGTGGCTCAGTTGGTTAAGCGACTGCCTCCGGCTCAGGTCATGATCCTGGAGTCCCGGGATCGAGTCCTGCATCGGACTCCCTGCTCAGCAGGGAGTCTGCTTCTCCCTCGGACCCTCCCCCATCTCACGCTCTCTCTCTATCTCATTCTCTCTCTCAAATAAATAAATAAAATCTTTAAAAAATTAAAAAAAAAAATGACCAGGCATTTTCTTCCTTAATCGCTATGTGTTATCCTTCCCAAACTAACCTGCCAAAAGAGTGACGGGTATTAAGGAGGGCACGTTCTGCATGGAACACTGGGTGTTATACGCAAACAATGAATCATGGAACACTACATCAAAAACTAATGATGTAATGTATGGTGATTAACATAACATAGTAATTAACATAACATAGTAATAATAGTAATAAAAAGAATTCTCTAATAATTCTTTAGACAAAGGTTTATAGGTAACTGTTCTCCTGCTATGAAACATATTCCTCAAGTTAAAAACCACATGAGGAGTCAGAATTCTCTTACCATAAGAACATGTGAAATATGCTGTGGGGTCAATCAGTGATCCATTTAGCTTACTAGTCACTCCTTGACAATGGGATAATTGTAGAAAAACATGACAGTTGCCTTCTGTGATTGATGTTATTCTTGAAGATTATAGATGGTCACTGAGTATCTCTAACTTTCATTAAATACATTTGTCAACTATAGATATATATTTCTATAAGAAAAATCCTTCTACCATGTCCATGGGATCATTCCACATATTCACAGACATTAATCTTCTCCTTTGGGCACTGGCCACATCTACCCTGGGATCCAACAACACAAAAGGAACTACTAGCAACCATAACAAAAATAATTAAAGAATTCTTAAACAAGCAAAAATGCTCAGCTTTACCATATGTTAACTAGCCTATAACATATGCATCAGACCTGCAACCCACGCTAGAAAAATAATCAGCTCCCCATGGTATATGGTCAAAAAAAATTCTTGGTAGAAGAGAAACCAGTGAGTCTATTTAAACTTTTTAAATGCCTGGTCTAATTTCTTCCAAGTCCCAGATTTCTGTTATTTTGCATAGCTGGTTTAGGGAATCAATGGTTCAAATAAGTAAATCCTAGCAGACTGTGTTAAGTCTGACTTGTAGTTCCCAATTTTTGCAGACTTTTTAAAATTTAATTTTGTTTTTGATCATGTAAATAATATAAATTATAAAAAGTTTAGGAAATACAAAACAGAAAGAGTCTCACATAGAGGTTCCAACTTATTGGGTATATGACCCTAGACAAGTTACTTAATCGTTCTAGGATTCTTCATCTGAAAAATGAGTACTACCTACATCATGGGACTGATAGGAGAATTACTGAGAAAACACCCATGACGATTTTAATATGGGACCTATTAATGTAGGAAGTATTCAACAAATGTTATTTTTTTAATTTTTATTGTTATGTTAATCACCATACATTACATCATTAGTTTTTGATGTAGCGTTCCATGATTCATTGTTTGTGCACAACACCCAGTGCTCCACGCAGAATGTGCCCTCTTTAATACCCATCACCAGGCTAACCCATCCCCCCACCCCCTCCCCTCCAGAACCCTCAGTTTGTTTTTCAGAGTCCATAGTCTCTCATGGTTCGTCTCCCTCTCCGACTTACTCCTTCACTCTTCCCCTCCTGCTGTCTTCTTCTTCTTTTTTTTTTTCTTAACATATATTGCATTATTTGTTTCAGAAGTACAGATCTGTGATTCAACAGTCTTGCACAATTCACAGCGCTCACCATAGCACATACCCTCCCCAATGTCTATCACCCAGCTACCCCATCCCTCCCCCCCCATCACTCTCAACAAATGTTATTTTTAAAGTATTTTTTAAATTTAACTTCTCACAATTGTAATACAAAGAATCACTATTATACTTCTTTCCAGTCTTTTAAAATAAATATTTGCATATTGATGAATGTATATAGCACATATAAATCCATTATGTGTACTTTCAAACAGAAATTGATCTTTCTCTTACTTTTTCAACCATATTTTTCCATAGCACTAAGTATTCTTCAAAAATTTGATTTTTAAATAACCATCCATTGTACATATATACTATTATCTATTTGGGTATTAGGTTATTTTCAACCTGACAATTATAACTAATACAACTAATTGACAAATATAACTAATAATAAGCATCTGTACATGTGTACTGACACAGGTTAACAATAAAAGTAATGTATCTAGATTTAAGAGGAAGCTACTCACAGTAGTTAAGAGCATGGCCTCTGGAGCCAAACTAAGCTCTGAGTTCAAATCCAGGCCTCATCACTATCTACATGACCTCTGGCAAGTTACTTAACCTTTCTGTGCTTGATTTTCCTGATATAAAATGGGGATAACAAAAGAGTCTACCTTTCAAAGAGCTGTTATGCATATTAAATGAGTTAATGTATGTAAAACACACAGAATACTCTCTGGCATATAGGAAGAACTTAGTAAATGTTAGTTCTCTCATTTGGACGGTAGAACATCTTCTTTCAGAGAAACTAAATTTATGTATATGAATTTTCCACAAGGCGTGGTGGAATTCAGATGATTTTAATGGACAGAAGCTGATAAGCTTCTTGTGAAAACACTCTCCACGGTCAGAGACAAAGCTAAAAATTAAGATGTTTGCATCCTCAGCCCAAATACCCTCCTTTCAGAATATATTATACTCTAGGCAAGGCAAAAGGAAACAAAACAAAAACTGTTGAATAAGTTAATATATAGGGGTAGAGGTTATAAAATTCTTTACTCCAAAACTAACAGTGATACAAACTAATATAGAATGCATGAGATCAGACATAAGCAGAAAACTTTACCCCAGGGTGGATTTGCAAATTTATTGTTTATGAGGCTGGAATTCTTCCATGATTCAATTTAATTCAACAACATCTACTGAGCAGCATAGTGTGCTAGGCCCTGTGCTAAAACCTAGGGATATAAAGATGCCCAGGTCCTGCCCCAAGAAACTCACAGTCTAATAGTTTGCCAAGTAAACGAAGGGAACAAGGAAACTCCGGGCAGAACAGAGAGCATGGGCAAAGGCCAAAGAGTAAGAGAGCATTCAGCTGAGGGAGGTCCAGAAAGTTGCAGGCAGTGGACACACGAGTCTAAGGCTCAGTGATGTAGTCTGGGCTGGGGATACAGACGAGTGTCACAACCATAAAGACAGCAGTGGAGCCCTAAGTATGGAAGGAGTCATCTAGAACAGCAGTTTGCAAAACACAGTCCACAGTCCCCAAAACCCTTAGAGGCCCTCGTCTATGAAGCAAAAACTAATTTCAAATGACACTAAAGTTACTTGCCTCTGTCACTCCCATCCTCTTATGAATTTACAATGGATTTTCCTGAGGCTACCATAACACATGATGGTATCGTCACTGATGGCTAATGGAATATATGCTTCTGTATTCTCATGTTTTCTAGCATGTTCTAAAGTAGTAGGTTTAGGGCATAATTTAAGCTCTCAATTTTTTTTTCCTTCTCAGAACCTCTGTTGTGCTTTTACTAGCTGTCTTCAGTTATACTTGCTATAATCTCTATAATCTCATTATTGTCTAATAAATAATCACTGTAATTTGTAAGTGCTCCAGGCATCTGGGCAGAAACAAGTACTTTCTATTAATTTGTTTTTGTAA